TGTAGAACAACGTCAATTGAGTTTGCGTTAGTTACCAGCTTTTATTGTGCAGATGGCCTAAGTGGAATTATGGATAAAATATGGAACTATTGTCAGACAAACAAATACAATTAAGATGAAGAACTGTCATGAATGTTCACCGAAATGGCTGTCAGATCAAGTCAGCCATCAAACACAGATGGCATTACAAACTCTGTGCTTCAGGGCTACCCGATGCTCGCCAATATACGAAACTAAAGAAACAATTTCATTCCAAGCAAATTGACTTCCATCTTATGATTCTTCAACTTAATGCAAAGTGAAGTTCTATTAAAATAAATATATGCGTTTCATAAACATAATCATGCAGTAGGCGGTTGTTTTTGGTAAAAATGTCCTCCTCCCATGTTCAAAATGGCCTGGCTGAGTTTTCTTTACGAACTGAACCCAGAATACATCTTTTAGTAATATGAAAACATTAACAAGTTCCTCACCTGAAACAGCAGCAGCTTAGATAAAAAAATGGTTTGGACAATTTCATTGTTTTGTAAGATTTGAGATTTTCACGGCGGTGACTATGAAGAATGCCGTATTCTGTGATGTGGCGCCTGTAGATATTGTGTTAACCGACGTTTCGGAGGGATGTATCGCCTACATCTTCAGGGTAGAAAAATCCGCCAACGAAGAACCAGCGTGAGCAGGTAGCTTCAGTTCGCTGATTTTTCAACCCTGAAGATAGAGGTGATATTGTAACGTGTTTCGTTACTGAATATGCCGTAGAGATGGTTAATTGGTTTATTTAACAATCTACAAATAACACGCGACAATATGTTCCTCCGAAACGTCGGTTCACATAATATATAAACGGCGCTACATCCCAGAAGACGGAATTCTTCTATTTTATTGTTGTTTGTGAAAGGCGTAATAATAACCTTACAAAATAAGCCTACACGTTTCATTTCTGAAAGCCCGTCAGCACTGAGCAGACCCTGTATGTCTCTTTTAACTTACTTTCTGCTGAGGAAGTAAATCTATATTAACTTTTGTTATTGGCCGCGCCATAGCTCAAGCGGTTAGTCGCTGGCTTCCCACCGCGGCGGCCCGGGTTCGATCCCGGGTCTGGTAAAGTGGGATTTGTGGTGGACAAAGTGACGCTAGGGCAGGTTTTCTCCGAGTACTTCGGTTTTCCCTGCCAATCTTCATTCCACCAATTGCTCCACAATCACCCTCACCTATCATCTGGGGCTGGTGCAATAGGCCAGAAGTGGCCGCAGTACAAGGGACTTAGTCCCACTCCACACAACGTCATTCCCTGTAAACTATACGTTACGTAAACCTTGGCGTTTTCAATAGAGTTGCTACAAATATAATGAGGTAATACACAAGCACATAGGTTCGAGCAGAGCGACATTTCACTTTAAAATTACCGCGTTATGAAACCCTTGCAAAGTTCTCGGAATTTCAGTGATGCCTGGGAACGAGGTACAGTGCGTTTGAAGGACACGAGATATTGTCCTGAGAATGTTCAGGGGTGACTGCTTATGGAGGGGACAAAGTATGTTTTGGTTACAACAGGAATGTGGCAGGTTATGTTGATATGCAGAGTGACTGGGGTTCTGGTCTTTTTCCATTGTCCGGATTTTTAGGTAATAGAGGACACGACGTTTCGAAAACTGGATCTGTTTCCGTCTTCAGGTTAGAAAGGAGGACACATACTCAGTTTGGTCTCTTAGAAAGAGCTAATCTCAATCACTGGACAACTCCTGTCAGATTTTCCCAGCTATTTCAATATATATTAATAGGCTGAAGATGGAAACAAATTCAGTTTTCGAAACGTCGTGTCCTCTAATACCTAAAAAATCAGGACAATAGAAAAAGTCCTAAACCCCAGTAATTCTGTGTGTCATCCACCATCGTCAGAAGCCTTTAGTGTCTTTGTTGATACGGTTAGGAGTAGGAAGGGAATTTATGTTTTTTCGCTATGAAGTCGATTTGTACGTCTTAATTCCCGGCAGTTGAGCAGAAGAAGTGTTTATGTTCTTGGCAACGCATACATTCGTTCAGTTCAATTCGAGGACTTTTAGAGTCTGTTAAGAAAGTTAAGAGATTTGGCTGTATAGTGAAAGCCCTGTTCAAACAGCAACAAAGAGGGGAAACTGCGCAGCCAATGGGATGTGGCATTCCACCCCTCAAATCGGTGCCATCACATTACTGTCGCAATGCGCATGTCCAAACTGAGGATAAAGATGATGATGATGATGATGATGATGATGATGTAGAAAGTGGCTTTTACACTCAGAACAAAAAAAATTTAAATTTAAATTGAAGATTTTTAAAAATCAAATTGACGTATGTAAATTAACAAAGAGTTTATACATATGACAAATATCAGAGAGGGGATTCTGATATATCAGGACCTATTAACAACAGAGAAATGAACAATTAAGAAAGCTGGTGTTTTTAAATTTTAAACTATGTGCAGTGTAACAGCTACGTAAGAGAAATACACCTGATGATGGCCATTTACGGCCGAAACATGTAGTGTAGAAGAAAAGAAGACAAAAGAACTACAATAAACTGTTGCACTTAGGACGGAGTTTGTGTCATACGTTACGTCATACACTCAAAACGTGTATTTGATAAATTTCGTAGAAAGCATATAAACGTCTGGCTAGGAATTTTCAATGTTAATACCGACATTTGTAAACGAACCAAACGGAACGAGAAGATACACAAAATTAGGATTGAAAATGTGGCAGATTAGTTAAAACTTCCGCACTGAAAAATTTGATCTTCGAAAGCAAATGAGTGAAATATAGGATAAAAATTAATATCGTATTCAGTATGAGAACCACAAACGTAAGGACTTGTGAACTCGGGTACATATACACTAGCAGTAATTACATTTGTAGGGTTCAGTGGTACGCTATTTTGAACAGGGTAATGAGCATACAATGTTCAAAGTTTACGAGGAGAGAAAATGCTTTAAATTCTGTTGGGCGTTCGACACTCACGTGACTGAACGCCTGCGGGAATTTTAACGCATTTAAATGAAACTTCGAGTTCCACAAGATGGTGGGAAATTAGACGGAGCGACTACTGGATTCTATAGAAGCATTCTCTTCCATGGAGTTAACATGACACATGTAGCAGATACAATAACACAAGGACAGAGCATTTGTTCTCGAAGCTATAATCCCTACCAGAAACCCAGAGAACAAGAGAAAGAGATTAGGAAAACTGAAATATTAACGAAGTTAGGAAGTTCATAATCACTCATTCGCTGTATCCCTGTAAACGAGCGTGCAGGCATAGAGTTATGAGACGTCGAGGCTTCCATATCTTCTAGACAACCGGCTCACAGAGAGCGCTGATGTTAGTCTTACGCTCCGGCCTCTGTTTACCCCCAAAGAAAATTCCTGGTACTGAAATCTGATAGAGGTTCAGTCGGTCCCAGTGATATAATACGGCCGGAAGGATTAAAGTAAAAGCAAGTAAAGCTATGCCTGTACCAGGCCATGAAGGCCCATAGGGCTGTGAGACGTCGAGACTCCCACATTATCTATACAATCGGCTCAAAGATGGCGATAAGGTTGTCAGCTCTACGCGGCGGCCACGTTTTACTCCCTAGGAAAGTTATTTAATTAATTCCTGGTACTCATTTCTGTTAGAGGCTGAGTCGACCCCAGGGCCATAGTGCGGCTGGAAGGATTAGGTCAACTAAAAAAATCTTAAGAGACGTAGGGGAGAGAGGTGGAATGGAGGAAAATAGGAATGGTCGTATTTGCAAGCTTAAAATTGGTTAGATCTCCTTTTAAGAATAAAGAGCAAGTTGGGCTTCGCCTCTTGGCTACTTTCGTCCACATCTTCCTGTTGTTCCTGTTGTTCGTGTCGTATTTCAGCAACCCGTTGCATTGAGGCATTGAGGAAGACCACAACAGTAACACACACACGGGAGAAACAAGACACGCGAACACTAAGATGGCCGCAAAAGAGTACAAAGACAGCGTTCTAGTCTTTAGATAAAAACTGAACAATGGCAATAGACAAATGAATAGTGCAGTGGTCTCCCCGAAAAACAAAATGAAAATTACCTGATGATGGCCCATGTGCGGCCGAAACACGTTGTAAAGAGAGAAGAAATATATGTAAAACTACATTTTAGTAATGTGATATCACTTTTACTATATAAGTTATACTTTTAGTGTCTTAATGACATTTTATGATTTTAACAACATCGTAAATTATTAAAGTTACACTTTTAGTGAGAAACATATTTTAGAGATCTTTTTATATGTTAAAAATATTGTTGCATTATTGACGGGTGCCACAATAATAAGGTTGATGATGATGATTTTGCTGGTGACGATATCGGCCTTTCGTTAGGTACTTGGAACGCGATGACACACAGTCACGCCGTAAGTACTATGCCTTTGTATAACACGAGTAATATAATTTTTTTTCCCTGGCACTACAGCCCCAATGGGCCTAGGCCTATCTCTATGAACTTCTCCGTTCACGAGTAATATAATTAGTTATGCAGAAACATGAACGAGAAGAAGCTACTCTGGTATTCAGAGGAATGATCAAACACTTAGCTGATTCATAATATAGATTTTCAAATGTTCGTACATTTTATTAACAGTTCCTGTTGCCTGAAGTACCGATATAAAACGTGTGGTGATATGCCGCAGTAGCAATTTGTCCTCAGTAACAATTCCGTCGCAAATGCGCTTAGCGCAGTAATATTTGCTGTGTAGATGTGACAATTCCTGTATATTCACAATGTCCTCCGCTTACGTATATTTTGCAGGAATATCACAGACACTCCGTGCACATCTGCGCAAGTATGGTCACTGTACAGAAGAATATTTACTAGACGGAGCGTGAGGCTATGGGCTGGATTAATGTAACCCATGATAGAGGCCGCTAGCGGGTTCTTGTGAACACGGTAATGATTCTGTGGGTTCCATAAAAAGTTTACAAATTCTTGGCCAGCTGAGCGACTGTCAGGGACTTACCGTGATCCTGAAATCGTGCGGATCGCAAGTGTCGTACCGTCTCCGGAACCTGATGACCGTGTGGGTCCCGTTCTCATACCCCAGCAGCAGCTCGTAGTCTTGGCTCGAGTCCACCTCTGGCTCGGTCCTCTCCAGGGCGTGCCGATCCTGCNCTCCGTCGCAAATGCGCTTAGCGCAGCAGTATTTGCTGTGTAGATGCGACAATTCCTGTATATTCCGCTTACGTATATTTTGCACGAACATCACAGACATTCCGTGCACATCTGCGCAAGTATGGTCACTGTACAGAAGAATATTTACTAGACGGAGCGTGAGGCTATGGGCTGGATTAATGTAACCCATGATAGAGGCCGCTAGCGGGTTCTTGTGAACACGGTAATGATTCTGTGGGTTCCATAAAAAGTTTACAAATTCTTGGCCAGCTGAGCGACTGTCAGGGACTTACCGTGATCCTGAAATCGTGCGGATCGCAAGTGTCGTACCGTCTCCGGAACCTGATGACCGTGTGGGTCCCGTTCTCATACCCCAGCAGCAGCTCGTAGTCTTGGCTCGAGTCCACCTCTGGCTCGGTCCTCTCCAGGGCGTGCCGATCCTGCAACCAGACCAAGAGACGCCTCAGTTACGTAACCCTGCACGCTGACGGACTGAGCAGTCAAACGGGAATACAACCTTAACGTCCTTCCTGTAATATCGAGTTTCGGAAAATCACTATCATTAATTCATAATATCTGAAACAAGTTACTTAGTGCTGTACAGGTAAACAATAGCTGGTTATTTAAAGTTTCATACAAAATTAAGTATATTCTAGGGCCGTGCCATAGCTCAAGCGGTTAGTCGCTGGCTTCCTATCGCGGCGGCCCGGGTTCGATTCCTGGTCACGTCATATGGGATTTGTGGTGGACATAATGGTGCTGGGGAAGGTTTTTTCGAGTACTTCGGTTTCCCCTGCCAATCTTCATTCCACCAATTGCTTCACAATCACCCTCACCTATCATCTGGGGCTGGTACAATAGACCAGTAAGGGCGGCAGTACCAAGTTGACTCAGCCTCACCCAACTAAGAATGAAACAAAATAAAATATAAAATATACATGCTACGTCAGTAAATAAGAAATGCAGACTTTTTATGTTAAAACAAGTGGTACAGTTTGTTAAATTTAATAGTCTGTTTTGAGGTTATCATAATTAAGAGCCATTTTTTTAGATAGGTACTATTTCAGTAATAAGTTGTGCTGGGGAGAAAGTCACTCAGCCGGTTAGTCAGTGTGAAAGCTAAAGCAAATTAATTGTAGACGCGTGCTAAACTACCTGCCACTCATATTGTGATTTTCATATTCCTTGAAGTGCGAAATAAGATTTGAGCTTGTGACGGCGTTGGCTAACACGAGAATGCAGTCTCGTGGGGGGTAATACCCTGCGTAAGGGAAAGGGGTACCCATTTACCACGCTACACAACAAACTTGTACGTTTGTCGGTGCCAATGTCATCATTCGGGGGAAGTCCCCGGTAGAGATTCTCTGCAAATCACAAATTGATAGAAAGTGCCTTCGGAAGGCTGAGAGGGCATATTTGCTGTATCGTATAGGGGTCACACCGGTTCAGAGATCTCCATTCGGAAATCGACTATCCTGCCAGTGTTTCGTGGTCTTCCTCAGTTCCTTCACCAAATATCAAGATAATTTGATTTATACCAAGTTAGATTACGACTGCTACTGTCCATATTTTCCCAGGCTAACGTTCATTAATTATCAGTTCGGAGCTATATAAATTAAGCTTTTCAAATATATCAGTGAATTGTATAAATATATACATAAATAATGTCCCATAGAATATTCTGAGCCGGTCACAATGGCCATGCGATCGAAGGCATAAACTATCTTCCCCCTCTTGAAGATTGGGGTCGTGGGTTCGAATCTAAATTCAAGGATGGATGTCTATTTACGTTTATTCTGTGTTTGTGTTGTTTTGTGTGTAGATAGTGGCCTCGCGACGAGCTGATCTCCCTTCTAAAGAGTCCTAACGACTGTGTATAGGATTAAGAAACTTAAAAGCGACCAAGGCCCAACAAAGGGCTGTAGAGCCATAGACAGAAGATCCTGAAGATGCAGCTAACAGGGACAGATAGACTGAACACTGTTATGAAATAAACTGAAAGGATAAAGTTAAGCACTTAGCAACTATGAAAACAATATTAAAAAGGATATTTTTTACGTTTCAGTTAATAGCCCCTGTCTGTAACGCAGATTGCAATAGTATTGAATTGTGAGTTCGTTAGTGACTAATGAATTGGAGATGATGTCTAAGGAGACCATAATGTCCTGGCACTTACTTTGTGCGACAGAGGAAAACTTGTCTCCTTCCGCTAATTCAGCTCGACATATCCCAAATGGGCAACAAACATGCTAACCACTTCAGCGATAAGAACAGATATTAATACAGACCGCCTCTTTGCGATACAAGACCCATGTTCGGTGTGCTGAATGGTCCTAACAATACGGGCCAGAAATGGTTTCCTATCCAAGTCATTATGATTCAGTGCTACAAAAACTGCTTTCCTAATTAATAACAAAGAAACGCAATATTAGGCTCTTGCTGTTGTATTCATATTGATTTGGGGCACGAGGTAGCGTAGTTGGTTGAGGCACTGTGCTACAAACCAGAAGGTTGTGGGTTTGATTCGCGATGAGATCATTGGATTCAATTTACCTAATCTTTCCAGCCGCACTATAACTCTGTGGTCTACTAAGTCTCTAACACTAATGAGTACCAGGGATATTCCCGGAGGTAAGGTTGTCAAGCTCACCGTCATCTGTGAGCCGACTGTATAGAAAATGTGGGAGCCTCGACGACTCACATCCCTGTGGGCCTCCACGGCCTCTTACAGGGATAGCTTTACTTTTTCATATTCAATTTATTTAGCAGAGTGTTCCTTCAAAAGCCAAGAGTCTCTCGAGTAATTGAGAAATTCCCTATCTTCTCTGGAAACAGGAAGTTGATTATCGCGTTCACAACAGCCCGTCAGTCCTCCCTGTCATGGGCCAAATGAAAATAGTTTACACCCTCGCAGCTTACATAAAGACCCATTTTAGTAGTATCGTCCCTTACACGCCTAAGCTTTCTAAATTGTCTGTTATTCGTGTCCTTATATTAAGAAAGTCCTTGAGGACAAAAGTTGATTTCGGGATCACCGTATTTGTGACGTATTAAATATTAACGTAATAAATATTATCATCATGAAATCGCTCATGATTTGTATATGTTTCCATCCTCAGATGCGTGACGGAGACACTAACTCTGTTGGGTCTATTAATCACTGCACTTCGTAACGGACCCTTCAGAGCAGGTGCATTCAACCACCTACCTGAAGACGGAAGCAGATCTGGTTCCCGAAAAGTTGTTTTCTTTAGAATAACGGACAATAGACAAAGTCCAAAAACCCGGCAATCCAGAATGTTATACAGCACTGTCAGAGCCCTCTCGAATGTAAATGTTCAAATTGCGAACACAAAGATTAGTTGAGCTCATTGTTAAAGTTATATAGTGAAGAAAATATTTCAATTTTAATGGCAATTCTTAAGAGCAACATGAAAGGTGAATGTCCAGCATTCGTTCCGGTTTGGCAATGCATGTTTCGATATGTGTCAGTCAGTAAGACAGTGGGAAGGTTGGTCAATTAATCAGTGTTAGAGTCATCCATTAAGAACGTCAATCATCAGCCACAACGTCAGCACGTCATCTGTCTCTCCGTGAAACAGTTCATTAGCATGGTTATCCCTGCACTATCCATCCATTAATTAAGTGATTCAGGCACTGCGTGCGGTTAGCCAATCTGTCCGTGAAGTCTACGACTGCCAGCTAGTTCATGAACCAATCAGTCTCTCATACGAGGTAACCATTCTTTCAGACAATGCAATACTCAAATTAATCGGTCAATTCCCTAATAGGTAAATCAATTTCTTGCTTGGTTCTGTGTCAAGTCAATCACTTTGCTGGTTATGCAACCAGTCGATTAGCCATTTGGTTATTTATTGACTCATTCAATCGGTCAGCCAGTCAACCAGTTCAGACGGTAATTCAATCAGCTGATCAGTTATTCAGGAGTTCATCCAGTATGTCATTCAGAGATTCAGTCACTCTAACATCATGACAGACAATATTTAGTCAGATGACCTCAGGTGGCTCTCGAAAGATTCGGTCCAGTGGTTGTGCATTCATTCACCGCATTCGGCAGCTCCAAGATTCAATCTCCGCCCCAAAACGGATATCCTGAACAAGATTCACGGTTTCCTTCAGGCCTCCCTTCAAATGCTGGGACAGTATCTCAAATAATTATATAAAATATAGTCCATACGGGATATATTTTATATTCAAATCTCCTTCCGATGTAATGGCAATCACCCGCGAATCACACGAACTCGATTTCTGGCACAGCGCAGAGCTCAGTCTTGATGTTGTCTACGGGCTGAGTTCTCCGAAATGCCGAATGATTCTAAAGTAAGGATATCAGGTTTCTTGAGTGACTGCAGTCTTCATTAATCAATATTAATACAGTCTCCACAACTGGGCCTCTGAGTGTGAGGTCGGCAGCTAAAGAGCGAATATATAGTTCCCGAATTGGATAAGCATTTAAGTGAGGATGTGACTAGTAATCGGATATTTTACTCATTCTGTTTTACCCGTCGAACTGCCATAATCGGGTGGTCCAGATACCGGACGTACATCCCCACAGTTTGCTATTTATTGCTAGTGGGGTGGGACTAAGTCTCTTGTACTGCGGCCACTTCTGGCCTATTGTACCAGCCCCAGATGATAGGTGAGGGTGATTGTGGAGCAATTGGTGGAATAAAGATTGGCAGGGGAAACCGAAGTACTCGGAGAAAACCTGCCCCAGCACCACTTTGTCCACCACAAATCCCACCTGACCAGACCCCGTGATCGAACCCAGGCCGCCGCGGTGGGGAGCTAGCGACTAACCGCTTGAGCTATGGCGTGGCCCATTCCCATAGTTAGGCGTGTAACTAATTCCAGAAAGGTAAGCATATTTAGGCCATTTTTATGTATTTATAGCTGTAATTCTTATAAAAATCCCAGACAATTCTTTTGAATTTATCTATTTTAACGAATTTGAGGTACTCACGACGATAAATA